TCAATGGCGAGATCGATGCCTCCTTCGGACGGCCGGCCGATCGGAGTATCGCGGCATGCTTGGCCGCGCAAGTATTTTTCACCCCGCAGGCGGTGGCGGCAGCGGCGTCGGCGGCGACGACCGGCCGGCTGGATCCAGCGATAGATTCGACCTTCTGAATTATCGACGGTTTTGCGGGGATGATGCGCCTCGAGAATCGGGCTTCCTCGATCTTACAGCCGTGCGAACCGTCGTTGTATTCGACGGAAGGAACATTCGGCAACCGGACAACGACAGTTTTCTATGCGATCAAAGTAAAGTTGTTCTAATATCTTTACTATATAGATGCTGCACGTTAGAAACGAGGTAGAGTGCCCAAATATGGCCCCCGACTCATACTTTTGTCTCTACAAGTTCTAGAAAATGTGGAACCTTGCAATTTCCTGAAGTTTGAAAAATCGTTCTAAAAAAATTAATAAAAACAATTAAACAATTTTTTTCGGATTAAAACGAAATTTTTTAAGCAAGTGCAATAAAATTAGTAAAAGGAATAATTAAGAAGTGCCACTTTTTAATCTATTTAATAATTAAGTAATGTTTTACAGGAAGTCAAATTAGGAACATGGTGTGTTGGGGCCACGTTTAGGAAAATTTGTCAAATTTACACGACGACTGCGAAACTTCCTAAGACGAAGAATTAAATCCGAAATGGCAATCTATCATCAATTTGAATACATATGTAAGATATTGTCGCGTGTTTGGAGCAACAACTATGCTTAAATCAAAAGCAACGGGCCATTAAACTTTGACAACGGAAAACACAGAAACGTGAAAAACTCGAGCTGAAACGTATCTGCTCACTTGCTAAACTTTCATGTGCGACTAAAATAGCATCGCGTCAGATATTCTGCCAGTTGGCGTTCTCATTGCAACGATAGGAGCTGAGAGAGGTCACGAGTGGCCAAATTAGGAGAGAGGGCCATATTCGGGCAACCTACCTTATATGAATAAGTAAATTATCGTTTCTTCATTCCGCGTAATCAAATGATCTGAGACATTTGAGGAAAACTAACAACGCCAGTGTTTTTCTTGACCACACCTGGCATCTTTAATAATACAGAAAATTTATTGCGAAAAATGTTACCTCAGCCGGGGTGCGAACCTGGACCCTCCCTGCACACTAGGCGGGCGTCTCACCAATTCGACCACCGAGGCATATGATAATATTTGTCGCAATAGAGTATAAAGATGTTGTCTACGCGTATATTTTCGACGTTCGTGAACAGCAGTTGTTAATTACCGCCGCAGTGACATTGAAGAATTCTGATTATTTGAGAAAAATATTTATGTTGGGGCAAACGGGGGTGGGGGGGGGGGAAGAGAGGGAGAGAAATATGCCAATTTATATATACGCCCCATCTGCCTCAGACGCTCATGCGTGCGTTATGAATCCCGACGCGCCTCTGTTCGCATAACGAGGGTGCTCGATTCTCGAAATCATTATCGCTCGTCAAAAGCCGATCCGGCGTTACGACCCTAAAGACAGGTAGCCTGCTTGAAACGGTCGCACATATGGCGCACCCACACCCGTGGCCAATCGCTAACACGGTCATATCGGCCCTCGTTCACCACGCCGCAGTGCCGCACGCATCCACTAACACGGCTTTAAACGGCGTATACCTACACACGCGACGCAAAGCCCCGCTTAAAACGCTCGTTTGCATTCTCCGAATGAATGAAGTTATTGAGAGAGGGAGAGAGAGAGAGAGAGAGGGAGTGAGGGAGATCTCTATCTATAAGATCGACTAACAATAAGCATATAATTATCATCAATTGTCCCGTACAATCGAGTTTGTTTCCAAATAAATGGAACAGATCGCGAACGATTTGTATTATAGTGATTATCGACAACCGCGCTCGCCATTTGACGCTATTCATCAAAATCGCAACAGGTTCTCTCCGGATGGAGATAACTACGTTGTTAAAAAAAAGAAAGAAAGAAAAGAAAACAAGTCGGCTCCAGATCGCACATTTTCAAGCTTGACGAATCTCCGACCGGCAGTCCGATCGGTAAGATGCGCGCGCTTTTACGCGCGTGCTCGTTCGCCCTGAAATTTTGCCGAGATAAGGCGCGACGGCACGTGGGAAGCGCGGAGTGCGGACGTCGGGGACTACCGCCATCCGACCTCGATCCCGATCTCGATTTCGATCTCGATCGCGCGAGCGACGCGGCCGGCCGGCCGGCCGGCCGGTCGACCGGCCTCCCGGGCTTCGGTACTCGTCGCCGGCGACGAAAAATTGCACAACAGCAGGTTTCGTTCGTCGCGGCATATCATATAAGAGAGACAGGGCCGGGGCAGCCTAATGCTAATGCGGCTACCATTAGCAAGTAGTGAATCGAATGCAAAGTCGGACGTAAGGTGGGACCACACAGGTCGGCGTTTGCTCGCTCGCTCGCTCGCTCACTCGCTCGCTCGCGGAGGGTTACACGGGGCCAGCAGATGCAGTGCCCCATAAACAGCGGGGCGAGACCACCCAACGCGCTTGTTCCTTCGTTTCGTTCCTTCGTCTGTTTCCTTAATAACCACGATAGCCTGCCTGTTACCGTGCGAGAAGGTGTGCAGGCGCTTCTCTCTCTCTCTCTCTCTCTCTCTCTCTCTCTCTCTCTCTCTCTCTCTCTCTCTCTCTCTCTCTCTCTCTCTCTCTCTCTCTCTCTCTCTCTCTCTCTCTCTCTCTCTCTCTCTCTCTCTCTCTCTCTCCCCCCCTCCCTTCCTCCCCCTTTCTTCTCCCGTCTTCTCTCTCCCTCTCCGTCTCTCCCTTGCACGCGTGTACGTACGCGTGTATAGTGGATCAAATCGCAAGAGTGGCTCGTCTCTCTCTCGATCCAAATCGTTTTCGAGCTTTCGCAGGATGACGTCGCTCGACCGGACAGGGGGATCGGTGTGTAATTTCCGGTAATTGTCGAGTCGCTCGCTTCCCGATCGATCCGATCCCCCTTGAAGACGTCGTTTGGTACGTCGTTCAGGAAAGCTTGATAAATTGCGCGGCGATTGTCCGTCTCGCCTCTCTCGAATCCTCAGGATTTCTCTTATAATCGCACGTCGATCTTTTTTCCACGGACGGCTCACGACCCCGAAGCCAAGTCGCTCCTATCTCCTCACCTCCGTGCCTCCGCGCGGTTACTCGTAACTTCGACATTTTCCTTCCCCCCCCCCCCCCACCGCAGTTTATTGCGCTATCGTTGTCTTCCTCTTTTTGTCCTTTTTTTTCTCTCGTTTTCTTTTTATTATTATAGACCCGAGCTTCTGGGAATCACACGAAGGGTTGCTCTAGCGTGATGACCACCCGCGTTAAGTGCCGAATATCCGAGCTATGAGATATATTTTTGGTAATCCGAAACTTACAAAAAAGGAGACCGACGGGGGTAGATCTCGGCCGTCCCTCGGTCGCGTTTCTGTTGGTAGTACGAGAAAGTCTTTCCGAGCGATTGAGCATCGCTCCGCGTCGTCGTCCTACGATGTGCTTTGTACACGTTACTTGCTCGACGTCAACTTTCGCATAATTAACCGTAATCATGATTTTTCAAGAAAAATTGTCGTAGCAAAGTTGACAGTACGACGTTTGTGTCGCAATCGTGAAGGCTTGTTATATATACAAGACCGAGTAACAATTTTAAGGTCAAAGAGGAAGAAGCGTGGATAAGAAAAGTCATCAAAATGAGAAAAGAAATACTTATGAAAAGAGAGGCCTGTGAAATACATATGTTCTTGAAAGGTTGGAATCAGATAAAAATTTACGCGGTTCAAACCCGCGGAAGTTAAACACTATATTCGCGTATATCGCGTCAAATATGAGACAGTAAATAACTCTTTCTCATCATTTAGTTAATACTTACAATTATTTGTAACCTGGATGCAAAGCGCGATTTGGCATCGGCTAAAATGCAATATCACAAACAATCACAAAGCGAAATCTACCGACAGACACGAGTACTCATCATACAGTCATCGGTAAAGAAGGGAACCCGTTAAAAAATTTTTCATGCATATAATACACGAGATAGAATTCTAATATGAGATAGTAGGTTTTCAACGTCCGAATTCAATCACAAATCTTTTATTGTAATGATTACACGAGCTATAAATCAATTTTCCACTAAACAGATTTCACTCCAAAGGCAATAAATTCGTGGCGGAACCAACAGATGATGCCTATTGTTAGCAGAAACTCCGCTATCTCGTATTAGAAGTATATCTCATATTACGGGGACTTTCTGCTACATGTAGTATTATATGTATAAAATTATACATCAAATATGTCCACACATATTTTTACATTGTATATTCTATATGTATAATTCTACACAGTTCGGTATAATTTTATATATTTATACACTGAAAATCATGTAATTGTGGGACAACGTGGCATTTCGAAGAACTTTATGAGTTTTTTGAAAATTTACCATACATTTTACTAGTAAAATGTGTACTAACAATTTAATAAGTATAATTACTAGTAAAATGTATGGTCAAAACATTCTCATAAAGTTCTTCGAAATGCCATGTTGTCCCACGATTACATAATTTTCAAGGTAAATTTTAAAAGAAAAATCTCTCCCTGCATGCTTTTATACGAACAAGTTTTTGAAGGGAAAAATTGCTCATTCATAATTATATATAACTTTGTACAATTGTACACAATTGTACACATTGTATATAGAATTATAAATAAGCAATTTGTCACTATAAAAAAATTTTATATAAAAGCCTATACAAATCTATAAAATTATACAGAACTGTGTAGAACTGTAGAAAATTATGGAAATATACAATGGAAAAATGTGTATGGACATACTTGATGTACATTTTTATATAAATCTGTATATTTATTCATGTCCATACAATGAAAATACTATTTTACCGAGAAGTCGCTAGATAAGCAGAAAAATATCTTCTGAGATTTTTAATTACAGACATACTCGCGGTATATTTCGAATAACATAACAAATATATTACTTGATATTGGATGCAGCTTGTGTTTATTTCATCACAATGTTTACAGTAAATGTTATAGAATAGCAGCATATAAACTTAAACGAAATTCATATAAGAAAAAATAGGTGAAGAAATCAAAAGAGCAATTAAAATAACAAGATATATGATGTATACATATATATTTTTTGTATAACGACGAGGAATGATATTGTACAATATAATTTTTGTAATTAAAAAGAGTACAAATTAATTTAAAGGCAAATTATAGTACGTTGAAGCTATCGACCAGGTCGTTGCAAAAGTAGAGGTTTGTGCATAACGCTCGCTGTTTTTTATCTTCCTTGTCAATTTATTGCTGTAGATATTTCAACATAGAGTTAGAGGTAATTGTTTCTTCATCGTTATGCATAATTGTATCGAGATTGTTTCACCTAGTAAATTTCTACGTGCAGAATTATGGTTATTTGCAATGAATCCTTTTCAACGCTTCTCTCTCTCTCTCCTCTCTCTGTGCTTTTTCGTACGTTACTTCCCCTTATGTGCGTAATAAAACATTATTATTCTAATATTCTAATTACTACGTCACTTTTAGTCAAATCATTTTCGTGAACGACTGGAATGAATCCTTGCCCTTGTATTCTCGATATTAAAATACATTCTGGTAAGTCTCTTTTATATACATTGCTGATAAATTTTTATTACTTGTTATTTGCCAATCTAAACGTAAGTCGTTGCAGAAAAACCTGTTGTGAAAAACGGCTCGTCTGTTCAAGGATATTAGCTGGTTTCGTTGAATAAAATATTCGTCTTTAAAAGTCAGTAAGTCTGATAAATCAGTGCAGTAAGTGCACATTTAAATGTCCAGGCACGTACGCCTCTAACCGGAGGATTAAATCAAATCTACGGCATGACGCGTTAGTGCGAAAATGCAGCGTAAAACTCAGACGTTTTGTTTTTGTTGGATTTTTTTTTAAATATCCCGTCTCAATGTGTGTACATACATGGAAACTTCCATGCTCCGAAAGAAGATGGAATGCAACAGGGTTTTCCGTTACGTAATCGTTACGTAAAGTAAAACACCGCCGCGTGTGACAAGGATTACAAGGTGAGCAATCAAATCCGGAGGATAGAGCCGAGGTCGCCATTAGAGGTCGGCATTACGGTCCTTACGGCGCGCAGAACGACCTTTAGTCGAGTTGGCCCCCTTCCTTGGACTTGTTCTCCAGGTAGCGCCGTCGGTACGCCCCGGTAGGGTCGAATTTGTCTTCCAACAATTTCCAGTCGTCCGGCTTATTGTCGATCAGATGATGAGAGATCCTGTCGGCCGCGTTTTTCTGCGCCTCGCTACATCCGGCGCAATCGTGCTCCAACGCGTCCGGCAGATTCTCTGTAGGGGGCGAATCGCCAATTATTAACGCACGTGTATATCGTGACGCACTAGCCTGATTAGTTAATGACTGAAGAACGTAGCAAAAAAGCTAGAATACTACAGTTTTATAAATGTGAATTCTTTAAAACAAGGATTGAAAAACTTCCCTAGTAGCACAGTGCATTGGCGAAACGTTGGCCCAATGTTGACTGTATTATTAGAAATGCATTGACCGATATTGTCCAACGTAAAGCCAATATTGGCCATGGAATAAATGTAAATATTGCGCGATAATAATTATACAATATTACATTTATATTGGAAGTGCACTGGCCAATATTTACCAATGTAATGAGAATATTGGCCTAAAATTGATACAAGTACTAGTACGGTTTCTCGAAACTAGACTTGGACCAAGTTCTAGCATCGTGGACGCAGGCCTTAAAAGAGGGTACGTCGAAATCTCAAAGTTGTACTTGCTCTCGCTGAGAAGACGCGGTCCAAGTCTCGGAGTATACACGTTGAATTACCGGAGCTACTTATAGAGCTAAAGAATTAAAGAGTCTTTTGGAGAACGCTTCGACGTGCAACACTTACTTTTGAGTTCCCCCGCGTCCGGGGTGCAGGGGTTCCGTTCGAGCAGGCAACCCACGTATCCGTTTAACAGCCTCTCGTTGTTTATTATCGCGTCCACGTCGACATTGTCGAATTTCGTAGTGTACGCCTCCTCGGCGAGAACGGATGAGGAGGACGAAAGGGCACACACGGTGACAAGGGCGACGACTAGGTGTCTCATCGTACTGGACAAGAGTGGATGCGTTGTTTCCGATTCACTGCTGATGGAGCTCATTACTTCGGATGTCTTATAAGGGGCCTAGACACGGTTCGTTAGTCGCACGAAATCGTCCTCGTGTGTCCTTGCCATAATTTATCGAGAAAAATACGCGCGATGAAGAAGCCACTTCCTGTGTCGGTGCAATAGATATTTCTCTCCGAAGCATTTTTAGAAATCTTCTATCGTAGATAGAAGTTTTTTTTATCAATTATTTTTATTGTAGAGTTACCTAATACTATTCATCAGATTATTGTATAGATTATTTAATTGCTGTAAGAAAATAATATTACTTATATGCGTATATTATTATATACATAATTATTACTTTGTAGATAAAAAGTTTATCTTTTCTTTAATAATCGCCTCGAAACTTAAAAAGACGTTTAATAAACTATCTCAACAAAATAGATATTTAAAATAATAATTTTCTGCGAGAACGAGTGCAAGAAAAGTAGAGTGAGAATAATTGTGTTAGATAAAATTTCTTACACGTTTGACGATACGATGAGTGTAGAAGATTTATCTTATATGGTATAACGATTGTAAGTACTTGTGTCGAGCACAAAAACGTGCAGGTAGAGATAAAGCAGATAACAATCAAGGAATTTATGTGCCATACGTGAAGAGAATTCTCGCGTTCCAATTCTTTTTTCGTATTCCGTAGACGACGTGTTACGTGTGCGTGACCTCGAGTTTTAGACGGCTCGCGTAAGGGCCGATTATATCATCATCGACTCTCGTTATCCATTCCCGCAAAATTCCTCTAATTCGTAAATTTAAATTCCTCGCTCGAGGCATTTTGGCCTTGTATAAATTATCGGCAATTGTAATGCAATATCGTCCTCTATCGCGGACAAAATTGATTCGCGGAAATCTCCTCGTGTAATTGCTACTGTAATCTCGACGGCGTACTTTTGAGGAGCACATAATGACGGTGTCACGTGAATGAATTTACAATAAATTTCCCAAACGTACGATAATTCCCCGCGTTTTCGAGATGCATATTTAATTTTTTACAATCTTATTTCCAAGCGGCAATTTATTTGCGCGCCTCAAGTATTTCGGCGAAAATTCGCGATATTTCGATTAATCGAGGAATTTTATACAGTTGTATTCTAGCCAACTGCGAAGCCCTCTCTTCGAAAATTCGCATCCAAGGGAAAATCGATTGCGTCCGACGGCTGGACATTCGTCTGACTTCAGAGATCAACCCGAAAGTTTCGCGTTTCATAATCCGCGACAAAGTAGCTTATCAGCCGTGGACTTTTGATTTCGCAAAAGGAGAAAACGATGCCCGGCTTGGAGAGGATTAATCGCTGCGGCCGTCTGATCGAGGGAGCGCGGAGGGATTTCCTGAAATATTATCTGAAAAAATGTCCGACCCTATTTCACATCTGCTACGATCCGATCGGCACCCATCGGAAAGCGAGGGCCTTCATCGGATTTCTCTTCGGATTTGTCGCAGCTGTCGTGTTGTACGAGGGCATAATCGTCAATCTACAATTTGACACGTATACCAGCATCTCTCTAGGAGCCATCCTTGTCGCGATGCTATCGATAGGATGCGCATCATCGATACAGGTAATCTCTTTTCTTCTACTTCGCTCACTTCAGCTCATTACCTTTCACTATATACCCTCTTGTATTATTTTACATTTAATTGTAAGCCTAATCCACAATGTGCTCTTTGCGGCTGGAAACATTCTATTTTATAAATTAATAAAATTCGTGTGGCTCAAATGTGACAAACACAAATTTTAAGGAATAAAGGACTAAGAGCCTTTTTCGCAATAAATTTAAAATATGAAATATTTAGACACTAACACCCTGTCACGGCTCTTAGTCCTTTATTTCTTCAAATTTGTATATTCTATTTTATGGTCAATAAATAGAGGAAAGTCTTTTATTATGAGATAGGTTTCCAATATGAGATAGCAGGTTTTCAACGTCCAAATTCAATCACAAATCTCTTTTCGCAACGATTACACGATCTAACAATCAATTTTCCATGAAACAGATTTCACTCGAAGGGCAACAAATTCATGGCGGAACCAACTGGTTCAACAGGATGGTGCCTAATATTAATTTAGCAGAAACTCCGCTATCTCGTATTAGGAGCTCACCTCATAATAGGGAAATGTGTACGAGTTTATCACATCGTACATTATACAATCGTGCACCGTCGACAAATTCTTTCAAGCGTTTTGATTTGTTTATATAAAATAGAATGTTTCCAGATGCAGAGAATACATTGTAGATTTGGCTTGGTTGAAATTGTTGATTATGGAGCGGGATCGAAACGACGCATTTGCCTTGCTAAATATTTTACAAATCGAAACATGCCGTATTTCTGTGAATTTAACTGCGCCGTAACGTGCATTATGTATAGTCACGTCACGCACGTTGCTTTGTCCGCACAATTCGATTCTTATTATATCGGATTACAAATATTTCTCGAGTTAATGTATGCAATTCGACGCGATTTCCAATGATAATGAAAAAAGGTAACTATAATTATAAACAGTTTATACGTGAACTGTGAAACAAAGTGACGTGTTTATTCGATTAGCGGAAAAGTGACGTATTTATTCGATCGGAGGAAAATATCGTAAGATGTCTAACATTAAGCAATAAATCTAGTCGTTCTCACATTGAGGAAAAGTTATTAATATGACTAAATGTTAAAAGTGACAGTCATTTTCTTAGTTAAAATATTTCACACGCAAATATCCATGTTACACTTTCAAGCTTGTACAATAGTATATGATTATAAATTTTATATTTTCGAAAGGCCATTCATTTATCAATGTAGAAAATTGCTTGGCGACCCATGGCTGGCAAATTCTAATTAAAGAAATTCATTGCGAAAAACCCTGGCTGAAGTAATATTTTTCGCAATGAATTTCTTTAATTAGAATTTGCCAGCCATGGGTCGTCAAGCAATTTTCTACATTGGTTAATCAATCACTGGCGTCGAATAATTTTAATAATTTCACAAACTGACGGTTGGGACGCGGTTTCGACCCCATTGACGTCGATTCGACATTAGTATTCTCACTGGGCTGTCGTTTCGAATAGATGAGGTGCATCTGTCTTTTGACAATACCGACCTTCCTCGGCCGATCCGGACACAACGTTCTGAGGGCTCTCATTCTGGGATATGTAATAGCGGGGCCGATATTCAATCTGACGTACAACGGTAAAGAAGTGGTGAGGACTTTCGCTTGCACGACACAGTTGACGTACAACCTGACCCAAACACGCTTCGATCTCATGTTCAAGCCATTCCAGCAGGTACAATATCTCTGTTCATTATAGAATAATAATGCAATGATCACCGAATTTCTGAAGAAGAATAGTTATTTATGCGACAAGACTTACAATTAGCGCAGAAAATCAGCGATCTAACCGAAGTATCTAATGCAGGCGGTGCTCGCCATGAAAGCGGATGCGAACGAGCTGAAGGATACTTTATCTTCGGTGAGAGATTTGATGAGTCCGATAGTCGAGGAAATCGAGGGCGAAGAGGAGATGAGGAGGCTGAAAGAGGAGAACGACTATTTGGATGAGCTCCAGGACGATACGAGGAGGAGCGACGAGATCGAAGAGAAACATGAGAACGAGATCGCGAACGCGAGGTCCGAGGCGGATGTTTACGAGGCGAAGTACAAGAGGAAGATCGAGGCGCGCTGCGAAGAGCAGCTTAGCCACGGTGCCGAACGGTGCAGGTAGGATATTTAACACGGACTTCATCTAAATAACATACGACGAACTTCGATAGTCCGCGAATAATTCAGGCACGTTTCTCGTCTTTCGCGAATAGACTTTCAGAAATTTATTTCCATGCAGATCCGGCGAACGGTACATTGGTACCAACGGCACGATTGGCGTCGCCAGAGACGACGATTCTTTTGCGAGAAGATAAATGAAACCGTAGACACTGTCATAATTTTCGGGAAGAATATCGAATATGAAATTAATTCTGTTCACCTGCATGTAATAACTTCTTCGTTTCTCGCAATGATAATTAGCTGTCGCAAAAATATCACTGCCCCTGATAGCACAGAGAGTCCAAAAAGAATTCTTTCTCAGATCCCGAATTATGGAATGAATTCTTTTTTTATTCCATCTCTGTTATAAAAACATTCTTAAAAGTGCACGAAGAATTTATTTTTATGTCAGCAATATTGAGCTTCCCTTTTCAAAAAGAATTATTTTAATATTCTACACAAAAAGAATCTCCTTTTAAAATTTACCCTGAAAATCTTGTAATCGCGGGACAACATGGCATTTTGAAGAACTTTGAGAGTTTTTTTAAATTTTACCATACATTTTACTAGTAGGGACAGTCAATGTTTCTTCGTCTTCCTGAGTCGTCTATTTTAAGAAACTGCTAACCGAGTTTCATAAGGATGGTCACCATCACATCTTTCGCTTTTGTTACATCCTTACAAATAATACAGGTGCTACGAGACTCTTAAATGTGAGAGAGGGAGATTCAACGGTGACTGTCTCGTAAGACGCAATGACTTCTGTCTAGATTTTTTGTTCTCTTCTATTACGAGATTTTATTCACACTGAAGATGATTCGAAAGGGATCGAAATGTTTGTAATTTTTAATTTTCAATATGAAATGTTATTTATGACGGATTAACACTACGACTCAATCTTTTCTATGGCTCGCACTAGCCTTTCCTACCCTTCATCGTTTTTTTTTAAATTTTGGAGCCTTTGCATTTTACTAGTAAAATGTATGGTAAAATTTCGAAAAACTCATACAATTCTACGAAATGCTATGTCACCCCACGATTGCATGATTTTTAGAATAAATTTTAAGAGAAAATTCTCTCCGCGTATAAAAATTCGCAATTTATCTTCAATTGCGTTAATTCATAAAGAATTTTAAAAAGTAAGTCCTTTTGGAGTTCATAACGACTACTGTGATATTCGGGTGCTTCGCGCCCAAGTTTTACAAAGGCATTTTTTTTCCAGGGATATGTTTGGTGACGCTTACGACAAGTGTTACGACACAGTGACAATTTTCGCGGCCTGGCTGTTATGTTGGCCAATGAAACTCACCTTCGTGTGCAACTTGGTGCAGGCTCTCGGCGGTTCCAATATCTGCGATCCCGAAGGAAAAGTGGACGCCGGTATCGGCGAGGGTTACGTCGCTTTAAAAAGTGAATATCACTCGGTGATTCGATAAAAATTTAAGAATGAGCACATTGAACTTCCCCACGACGTTCTTGCGAGATATCATCTCCTCTTCATGAAGGAGCCAGGGATGCGTTTAGCAAGAGTCTCAAGGACGCGAAACTTCAGTACAGAGTGAGAAAGATGCCGGTGATCCTCGACCTTCATGACGCCACGGACGCTGCCCAGGCTGTGATGCACGAATTCAACTCACGCAGAAGAGTCTTTGAGTCGGTGATGATGATTATCAAAAGGTGCAGCAAGAATGTAAATGATTTTAAGGATGAATCGTCGCGCTTCCTAGAGTAAAAATGAAGAAAATTGTGCGAAACAATTTCGCACGACTTAACAAAGCGTAGTATTGTCTTAAATATATTATTTTCTTTTTTTTTGCTATTTGTTTGTGCATAAGAAAACTTCGGCTTGTTTCGTTGATCTAAAATCCATCGTTATAACATACAAAATAGATTTTGAACAATTCTTTTGCCCACATGAGATGTCACAACAAATCTCATTCTTGTTCCGTATTGCATTGCGTTGCGAGTGTTACGAAGTATTATTTCATATCGTGATTCTTTATTATCTCTGCTCTCACGTATAATATGATACGTCATTTTTATTATATTTTATTTTATTTCATTTCATTTCTCATTTTTTCCCTTTTATTTACGAACGGGCTTTTAGCAGCAATTTTTGCTGGCGCCACACCGTTTGCATGTGTCATTATGCATTGCAATCAATTTATATATACAATAACTATCTAGATGTCTGTCCTTCGTCTTCTTGAGAATCATCGTAAGTGCTCAAACGTATCACGAGAAATATCTGTCCGAGATCGAGCATGACAACGTATGTGTTACTTCGTACTTCCGCAAGATCGACGCGAGACGAAAGGCTCGCGGTAGTCTGACCCTACTGCCACTGAAAAAGATCGAGAGATCGAAGTTTGTAGATCCATACAGTCTGCGACCGGGCGAAGTCGAGCGGGTGAATCTGACCGGCCAAACGGTGAAGTTGATCCTTGAGATGATCAGCGTGACAACGTTTATATTGCTGGACAGGCTCTTCTTCGAGGCGCTCGATTTGGTCAGAAGACACTCCCACATGGAATATACACAGGTTCGAGATTCATGAAGCGACTCAGCGAACCTTGTTACCTCCGGTTAGATTTGAATATTAATTTAAGGTGATGTGTCACACACCTTTTTTTTGTATTAAAAACCTATGGCCGCCAGACTCGAGTTTACCCTACAAACTATACTTGACTGTGTTGGTAAAAAAGATGGCTAAGGGATCCTTTTAAACCCAAGATTCTCTTTCGAAAGGAAATGTTGAAACATGCAACTCAACTTAACAACTCACGTCCCAAGTTTTTAATTCGCCATTTTTGATTCGCAAATTTTATAAAGAGGCCCATTTTGATTAACACATCTAAATATATGTATAATGCAAGAAAAAAAGAGAAATCTATGGTTTTTCGCTTTTGATCTAAAGAAACAGCGTAGCTATGGTAAAAGCTAAGAGAATTTTAAATAAGAAACAACTAGATAACATACGCAAAAAGATAAAACCAAAGCAGTTTTTCCTAACGCATTATATAACTTGTTTATTCTTTCTGATCTTGAACTGTAACTTGTACTTTTCCCAGGCGGGTCATCACGACATGACCTTGGAGGTTCGTGGTATCGGAGTGATAGCTTCTCTGATACGAAGCGTCATCCACGGATTCAACGTGAAGAGGCGAGTTAAGACCGTGGTGTCCAACAGCGCCTGTTTACCGAGGGCCAGCAGAGTACCGAATTACATAATCCTCAAGATCTACTTGATCTATCTAGCCATTTGGCTGTTGCTGCTCACCACCGCTTACACCCAGCGACTGCGACGCGTCATCTGCTCGTTTTTCTACAGAAAACGCGAGAAGAGGCGTGTGCTGTACCTCTACAACGAGAGCCTCAGGCGCAGACTCGGACACGCCAGGTAGAAACGGGATTAAATATCTCGCGATTACGTTCGCACCTCGTCAAATCCGGATAAAGTAGCGGATCTTGTGAATGGTGCTCGAACCATGCTTATGAAATAAAACTCGAATTGGATCGATTCAAATCCTTGTGAATACAAGTCGACCTTGATGTTGATTCCGACATCAAGGTTTATGCGAGCCAGGATCAGGACTCTGGTCAGGACTCGTCGACTGGAGTACGACTTGGATCCTTGGGTTGCTCTGAGGCTGCGCTGGCCGGCGCTTTGCGGTTGGTTGACGATCTTTGCCTGGGCACGTCAAAAGTGCCTCGTCTGTGGCGAAGTGGAGCCGAGGAGAGGTTCGCAGTTCCACAGATGCACGACACCCGGGTGTCCCTTCGTTCATTGTTCCGAGTGTTGGGACGACATCGGCAGAATTTGCTATGCTTGCGCGGACATCGGCGAGACGGACGATGACACGGACGAGTTTGACACACTCGTAACAAAGTAAAAGGAGATTTGTAGATGCGATGGAGCTCGTACATGTCTCATTTGATATGCAGCCTATTATATTGGTGTTTATGACGTGATAAATACCGACACTATCAAATCAATCAAATTTGTATAATGTACCTTTTACTTCACGCAGCCACGTGAGGGAAAAAACCAGCACAAGTTGAGAATTTTATGATTATCTGCTGGATGTTTCCAAAAGAAACCTACAAGCTTGATGAGTACTAATGAGAATTTTCCGTGCTTGTGTAAATAATGTTTTTTTGTAAAGTATACGTAAAAAATACGCAATATAAATTTAATTAATTTGATAATATCAACGTTTCATAACAGTACAACGCATTATAGAAACGTTATCTGTGTATGTACACGTACCGATATTTATTGATCAATTTATAATTGGATTACATAATCTACATAAAAAATGTCGGTCCCAAAATGGAATCCAGTTCCACATTCAATTTTAAATGTATGCATATTTTTTACATTACTTTCAAATTCTACTTCGTGCATCAAACACAGTGAAAAGTCACTCGATTTCCTTATTATGTGCTCTCTGAAGTTTTTGAAGTGAAAATAGAACCATGGAGTGAGAGAATATCTATTCCAAGCGGATACTTCGCTCCATGCTTCTATTTTCACTCCAAGAACTGTAGAAAGTATTTCTTATCTCTTAAGTAGAAAGTATATCTTATCGTAACTATCTTAAAAAGGCTCTCGTGAATAAATCTAGAAATTTGAATAGGCAATGTGAGTTAAACGCAAGATGTCGTGCTTATATATCTTTAATTTAATTAGAGTGTAAACTACAGAAAAAACTTCTTATCGTATCGTGACCCAGCTAGAAATGACGATCGATGTCGAAACGATGTCGAATCGACATCGGCACCGTCAAATTGATGCCGAATCGAAGTCAATGTCGATGTTGATCCGACATCGTTTCGACGAATCATTTCTCACTGGGGACGTTTCCTTAAATTTTATTACTAGTTTATATAATGATTTACATTAGTCGAAAAAAGTTTTTTGTCACGTCACAAATTAAAATATCTCGTTCAATGATAGCCATTTATCTTCGCGTTAAGATCTTTTCCGAGTACTAAAATAGGTGATTAGGATTCAAATGAGAAAAATATCAGACGATTCCGTGCACTACCGAACAATGAGGATAAACGCGATGAGAAATACGGAATGTATCATAATGCATGTATATTATGCACAACATTTTATTTGCATATCTATAAATTCTAATCGTCAGAATCGCAACTAGATAGAAGGCCGATAAGACAATTAACGTTGTGTTATAATAGTTTTGCAGCGTATAATATTCTATCCACGTCAATTCCTGATTAGACCTGAACGCCTTCCTGCTTGGCCATGTCCTCATACTTCTTCACGTAAGTTCCTTCCGGATCGTATTTCGCCTTCAGGTCGTTCCATGTGTCTGGCTTATTTAGCACTAGGAATTTTATCACCTTTCTGACGCCCTGTCTCTGGCGATCCGAACATTTCTCACATTCGGTTTCTAGAGCATCGTTTATGTATTCTGCAATTATATAATAATTATTCGTTTAACGATGTTAAATACAATCAGATACCGATATTTTGTCTCGATAACGTCTCAATAATGACTCGTCCTTTGGTACAATTCGTCAAAGATGTTAACATATGATAAGAGGTGTTCCTCTTAACAAACTGAATATTTATTAGCGTAATTTAGTAAGTGATTAACCACTTCTTCTAGAGAAACTCTTTATTTTTCAAACTGATTTCAACAACAAAATTCCCACAGTTTGCAAGTAAAGTTTTTGCGTATCTTACATCACAAGTTACACAAGTTCTCTGAGAAATATGTCTTTAAAGCTATTTCTAGAAACAAGTTTTTTATTTCAATATATTTACATTCTTCCGGTGTCTTAATGAGGATAAATAATTATGAGATCTTCAATTAAGTATAATTAACGTTGAAATCAATGCTACGCACGCAGATTATCAGACACGAATAGTCCAACTTAATTCTCGTTTGAACAACTCGTTTGAAATCTTCCCAACTAGTACAGGTGATCGTTATGGGCTCAAAAAGCATTCACGTTTTGAAATTGTTTATAAATTAGCATAATTTGTTCAAAATAAACTCAAAAGAATTCCTTTTCGATAATTCAAAGACGGTTCCATACAAGTACATCTTTTGACTTCTTTCTATGGAAGTAGAAACTCCGCTAATCCCATATTAGAATCCTATCTCATAATAGGAGACTTTTCTCTAGTATTATGTAAGATTATACTCGGAGAACTATGTGAGAAGGCACGTCCGTCCGATGTAACGACCACAGTAGTCCACATCGGATGAACGTGCCTTCTAACATAATTATCCAAGTGATACCCAGATATGGATGTCAAACCTCCTGTGTTGTTCAGTTTATTATCAATGACGTAATATTATTGTTGAATTCCTTGAAAAGGAGCACAACCCGTATGGTCGAAACGTCGGATTTAAAGAAATAAACCATCTGCCAGCCTAAAGTCGTCTAACGATTCTTTTTATCGTTAATTAACTATTGGCGATTGACATTCTTTCGTTATTATACATCAAATATGTCTACATATTTTTACATTGTATATTTCTATACAATTCTACACAGTTCTGTATTATTTTATAGATTTATATATGCTTTTATATGAAACATTTTTGAAAAGGAAAAATTACTCATTTATAATTATATATAACCTGTACAATAGTGCACAATTATATATATACATATTTTTCCCATTAAAAAATTGTTCATATAAAAACGTGTACAAATCTATAAAATTATACAGTGTAGAATTACAAAAAATTATATAGAAATATACAATGTAAAAATATGTGTGAACATATTTGATGTATATTTTTACATAATTCTATATATTTATCCATACTGACTGCATGAAAAATTGTTTACCGGGGCTGCATTTATAATAGCGAATAGAAGTTGTGTGTCCAATACTCACTCTTCAGTTCAATGGCTTCAGCGGGACACCGAACATTGGGCTTGTCCAGCACGCAATCGACATATCGCTTCAACAATCGGTCATTTCTAAGAATTTGATCTAGATCTATGTTGTCAAATTTAGTCGTGTATCCACTCTCGTTGTCTGCGTAAACGTAGACGACAGAAATGAGAGCGAACAGGCAAACCACCGCGAGCTTCATGACTGCAACATACAGTTACATAATATCAATAAAAAAAACAATTTTTTCACTCAATGTAGCCATGTCATGTACAACATTGTTGAGTTGAAAATTATAATTTTGATGTTATGTTAGTTGGGGTCCGATTAAACGCGATCGAACAACGGGAAACTTATACAGGTTGTGCGCGAGCGATCTTGAAAGAATTGCATGTAAGGGTACATGTAAAGGTACATTCGTGTTAACAGCATAAGTGAATATCACCAATAAGTTACATAATAAATTTTGCATCGCGATATCCGTCGCGAGAGATCGCGGGAAGCTCGACACGTTGCGTTTTCTAATGGAGTGTCTGCAGGCACGTCCACTCTTCAATAACACATCGAAATTTGCGGATTTGACTCTTCAAGGATCAGACACGGAAACGGTATCAGATTCCTAATGCTTTCACGTTATGAAAATACAATGTCACACAACAATGAAAAATCGAACGTGGCGTGACGTGTAAATGAGACATTTGCATTTTGATCAGACGCGATCGGTGAGGAATGAACTTCAAAACACCTGTGATCTTTTCAAATAGGGTTCATCATTACAACTTCCTTCATAAATCATGGCAAACAATTTTTTCGGGCAAATGCATCTCACTGAAGAAATTTCAAAAAATATCTTGTATCGATTAACGTTAATCAGATCAGTTATTTATTAAGGGTTTTAGACAAGAGAAGCAAACAATAATGCACAATTTCGAACTTGTTATTTGTTGTATATTTCTTTAATTGATTGGAACAGCATTCTTACACGGAGAGAATTTTCTCTTAAAATTGAAATGTGTTTACCCTCATGCTGTCTCAAATAGTACGGGTGATCGGTGTGAACACAAAAGGATTGACTTTTTAAACTTCTCTACGAACTCGCTTTCCTTGGCTAAAATCCTTCACGAACAACTTGATTTAACGTTAATCGGTACAGTAAATTATGTCCTTTAATACGTATATTTTGAACTGTCTTGAGCGTATCTTCTTGAAGCGTATCTGCCCGCAAAAAGTTGATTGGCCCTTCTCAGGAGAACGTCACAAATAAATTTTCATCGATGCAATTATTTCGTTTTTTCATTATGAAATACACTGGCCCACATGTTGGACGGTGCAGACCCGAAAGTTAATTTACTGCGTAATCACGTCCAGCTTCAAAGCGACGAAGGAGTTGAAGGAGCCGTGCCGCGACTAGCCACGACTGCTTCAAGCAGAATGACACGATAAATGCTCACCTAACACGTATTATTCGTAATCTGACGTAATTGTACGGACATACCGGTGTGACTTGACTTTATATACGTGCGAAGACGCGAACGCGGCAGGGTGGGACTGGTATAACGATTTATTCCGTGAATTCCACTTCATCGTCAACTAGCACCTTCACCTTTGCACTCGCGGTGAAAAACCACGTCCCGCGCGCGTCATCGTCAGCTTCAATGACGCACTATAGTTTTTCTTCTCTCAATAGGTAATGGTAAACTTCAAAGCGCAAGTTAATTAGCAAGTGTCAGAACTATCGCTTTCTTCTGAAACAAAGAAGACACCGTCTCCAAAATGCGCATAACTTAAAACCGATCTTCCGCGAACGTATGGAACGTACAGAATGGATGGGATGGAAGTTTTAGATCTATTAGGTACATGATCGTGCATCATCATCGTTTTTTAATCTTTAAATTTGTATACGAAGGCTACTTCAAAAGCGATATGTAACTGATAATTTTAAATTATTCTCTTCTTCACAAAAATATTTCATCGCAAGACTAAAAGAAGCAATTATTATTTGAGATTAATATCAGTATGAGCCAACATCGCGCTCGAAAATAAAATTGAATAAGTGAATAACTTATAAAACTGGATTGTGAAGTTAATATTCAAGGCTTTGCGATGAAATTAAACAACTAATTCTCTCTTGATTTCTGATTTCAGAGAATAATATAGTGGTCTTTCGAAACTCGCTGTACTTTAAACATATTGTGGGCGATGTTCCGTAAAAGTCCGCTCTACTTTTTCTCTCATTTTTTCAAACTTTACTCAAGGACTATAACCCTTCAAGGCTTGACATGGTCATTAATCTTTTCGTCATATTATTAAACAAAAATATCTTTAGTGCAACATACAGCGCGCGCACACACACACACACACGCACACACACACACACTCTTTCTTGCATAATTGGATTTAAACTGAAATAATCACAAACATAATTAATGCGCTGGTTCGAAGCAACGTAGTATGCGAGAAAAATAAAATTGAAGGATATCGGGTAATTAGAAAAAAAAACATCGCAAAAACGTCACACTTTCAATCTATTAACTTGATTAGTTATGACGATGATCTTATGATGTCTAGGAGTAATTGCGACTTATTAAAGTAATTACAATACGTTATTATTATGCATGTCTCATACGAGAAATTGTACTCTCTTGTTGTTAGGCTCAACTAATTAATTTGTATCTTCCTCTGGGAGACTAACGGAGAAACGAGAAGGTATAGCGTTCGCAGAAATTGTCACACAAGTCTTTCTTAAATGAAAATATCGCATAATTTATTTTGCACAATATGTTCGACGAATATTCGTGCCGCAGTACATAATAAGTAAGTTGTAAACAGCTAATTTTCACTTGATCAATTGAGAAAATAGTGCGCACAGTGCAACACGCATGTCCAATATCATACAAACAATTTATTGTGACCAAAGCGGTACTTCATACGTCATTCTTTATCCGACTACAGTTGTTTCATAAGGATTGTTTGTAGGAGGTGGGGAATGGGAAATTTCGATGTTGATACACTATAGGTATAATATCAACTTTATACACATATCGCGAGAAAATGAGATTTAATCACTAATCTCGATTACTTACAACGCACAATGCTTACAAGAGGAAGCCGTCCCAATACAATTAGCTATGTATCATCAAATATAGTCGGATAAACGGAAGAGGTATTTGTTTAATATCTATACAAAATATGAGCGAGTCGCTTGTACCTTAGCGTCGTCCTATCATACAAATATTTCTCTTTGCACACACATTCGCACACGTATACCTAGAGAAAGTCTGGATAGAATTTGTCTATCTACTTAAACCTGAGTAGGTCTTTACTAATTATGTACAAATAGATAGGCTCTCTTTTATTTACACAATTAGGACCTATATATACACTTCAATGTGTCCCTCTATTTAGACTTACATATACAATTTTAATAAGCGTGAAAATTTCGGGGACAATTGATTTAAATAATATTTAACATTATCGCACGGCCACGAAATTTCTAATTTATTGTACTTTATATGTAATATAAAAGCATACACATTATATATTCCAAAAACCGTGCTCGTGTTATACCTTACGTTTAATAAAATAAAAACCGCAAATTGTTCATATTGGTCGCCCAAGAGATAAACCGCGAACCGGATCTCTCCGACACCGAAATTGTTTTCCAAAATATTCAAGGAGAGTCATTTAAATTTTTTAATTTTTATTTACATGAAAAATAAAATATAAATCGATACATTGTTTTTCTTTTGAATGAAATAAATCAAAATAGGACAAAAATAAAGATGGTTACTTTCAATAATTTCTATATACTTTGTGTGTACCACTTTGAAACGAATGTTTTTTTTTATCGAGGCAACTTTCGTGATACCACAAAATTTAACACGCACGTATCAGCAACTAAAAAGTCATTTTCGCGAATTTTTAACTTTAGTGATAGGAAATAATTACATTCTCAAAGCGTCTGTGTCTATTTCGTTGCCAAAAATTTAGTTTAAAATGTTATCAGAATAATAATGATAAAGGCGACACTCTATATGCCACAAAATTATATAATTCTCTATGTTTTAAAATATATCGTTAAAATATTCCCTTGTTATATGTACAAATACTATACACAAATTATCTAATATATTACATCTTACAGTAATTGAATATACGAATGTTTGTATCATTCTTCGTCAATAAGGAATTTTTTCAAACCAAATAAAGGAATCAATCATTAGATTGTATAAATTTACATACAATATTATATAATCATGGTTTGCATGGTATGCATGTGTATTATAACATTAATTACATGGATTGTCAGTCGATTTATCAAGATTTTATCATTCTATCTTTCTAGTGAAATAAGTAATTTCTTCTCTATATCATTAGCCTTCGTTCATATACATATGTGTGTATATGTATCAATACTTTAATAGTAATGTCTAACTAATAAAGAAAATTATAATACAATAGTTAATTTCAATAATTTCATTAAATTATATGGACTTTAAAAGTTTCAATATATCTTATATATTTTGTATCCAGTTATTTTATAATTAAAAACCTAAGATACATAAAAATAATATCGAAATTTCCTTATTGCCGAATATGATAACATTCAAAACAGAAAAGAGTGCGCAACGGACATTATTTACACACGGAAATAACACAGTGGAAGAATTAATTGAGCAATACGTTCAATGGCTCTACGTAGGCAGTGTTAAGAGATTCTTTCAAACAGCATTTAATTAGAAATGATAAGCAGATAGAATATGATAAGGACCGATTCTTTTAACATTTGTCGCAAGTAATTAAATTTTGTATTACTTTCGATATTTATAGGCAACCTAACAAAAGCTAATATAAAAGAAAAACAGAGAAGCAATTGAATGAAACAATTGCCAATATTTTGTAATCATAGAATCGGCCTGAACTCATTGCCAGATTATCACAGAAACGCATAAATTGCGTTCCGATTATGAATCTATCTGATCCTACGTTGTGAACAATACAAATCACGTTATCTCATAGCACTATCCCTGTGTAAAAGGATCAGCAACAATGCAACTACTACAACATGCACGCATGCGTTTTTCTTCCATTTCTCTTTTTATCTGTCTTACATTTAACTAAATCAGACTTAAAAATTTTAGTTATAGATCTAAGACTTAGCCTTACAAGATAAGAGGTGACTTAGAATGGCAAAATAGTCGTAAATTTTAATACGTTTGATCAATTGGCTGTGATCCAACCGTTAGTTACAAGGTAATGAAGAATTTTGCTTTCTGGTTCTGATTGAGGTACAATACTCGATCTCCTATTACCGTAATATTCCTGTGGCATTAAAAATACGATATTAGCAAATTATATATTACAATAATAACAACAACGGCAAATTATAATCGACGCTCATCACTTACTTGTAATAACAATGTCTTTTGCGTCAAATACTGAGTCGGTTTTAGATCAAGTTGAATACATAAGGATTTTTCTTGTTTCGTTAAAAGATGGGACGCATCCTCCAATTCTATATCTCTCTCCGAGATAGAAGTGCTACCACCGCTGTAACTTTTTTCTTGTGAGGAGTTGGGGCTGGAAGTTGATTGATTGGAAGTGTTTGGATTGCTATCCGACTCCGCCCACTGATTGGCCGGAGTCGTCATCCGATTGTGACTGGTTTGACTGACTGTGGAGCTGGCCAAGTCTTGCTTTACAGTGTATTTTCGGTCGATGGAAGAGTAACTTCTTTCTTCTTCTCTATAAAGAAAACAGAAAGAAAATGCGCACAATTCCTTTAGCCACACAAAGTACTTAATTCTATGATTGTAAAAGTTTATATCTAAGATATTGTAACATACTATTGCTGCAACTTGAAAAGAAGCTTTGCATAACAATGCTCAACAGAAACAATAAAGCATACAAAATTTTCCTTGAATATATAAACACAAATTAGGCAAAGATATGCGTGATGAGAACGATGAGGATATTTATAAATTCCTCAATACATAATATAACATTTAACCCTACGAATATGATCTCTCACCTTCTTTTTGAGGTGCTGCGGTGTATTGGTGTGGACGGCCCACTGCTGCCCTAAGTGAAATGCAAACTGATACAATCTGTTCAGAAATGCCTGGCAACACGCATCACAAACAGTAGAATTAGTTAAAAAGAAGCAAAAGCTAGTGTATATAATATATTAAGGATTTAAATTCTTTTCTTTATCTTTATTGTACATACAAATGTACGAACACAAGAAAAACTAAATATATGGGGACAATTACATATTTCGAAAAATTCTTTTCACATATTCATTACAATTTCATATACGAAAATATGTGTAAAATTTATTACAAAGAAAGATAATGGAATTATTGGGTGATTGCATATGAAACCGCCCGTTGGCAATAAATGGCGTTAGATACACTATTTCTTCGAATTGAAAGCTGGCAATACACATGATGACAGGTCTATAGAATCCACGCCACAGTGGGGCCATTTCTGCAACGCGTTAACGTCGCCTATTTTGAACATGCTCCATCGAGTACAACGTGCAAAGAGTGGTTTCGCCGCTTCCAAAGTGGTGATTTCTCTATGGACAAGGACCGCGGAAACCACCCAAAAAATTTGAGAACTGCTGAAACCGTCGGAAATCACTGGAGATCGTTATCGACTGCAAGTGATCCGTTTGAAGCGAGCTCTGAGAAAAAAAGAGCCAGAATGGAACAATCGCCACAACAAGTTGCTTTTGCAGCACAACGCCAGGCCGAATGTTGCTCAACCAGTCAAGAAATACTTAGAAGGAGTGAACGGGAAATGCTATTCCATCCGCCGCCGTATTCCCCAGGTATCGCTCCCTCTGATTACCATTTGTTCCGGTCGATGCAGTCAGCGCTAACGGCACAGCACTTCACCTCGTACGAAAGAATTAAAAAATAGCTGAATGACTGGATTGTTTCCAAAGAACAAATTCTTCATGCGTGGAATCCGATTATTGCCCGAAAGATGGGCCAAGGTTGTATGTTCCGATGGGCAATACTTAGAATAAACCAGTTCGTCGATTTGCTATCAAATCACTGTCTTTTCGCTCAAAAGTGGGCGGTTTCATATGCACTACTCAATAGAATAAAATTGATATATATATATATATAATATATGAATATATTAATAATACAAGATGAGGAAAAAATACCGGGACTCCGAAATATTTCGAAAAATATAATTTTTATGAAAAAATGTTTCAGACAAAAGTTGTAGGGCTTCAAGTAATGCATTACAAGTCAATATCAGTATGATCTTGAATAGCGTTGTCAAGGTCACATGAAGGTCATCTTATTTATTAAATGAAACCCCCTATTTTCCATAACATATTCTTATAGCTTATCTCGAGAATTTTCCAAAACACTTTAATTAAGTTATCTTTCATTAAGTACTTTTCAAGTTACAAGACTTATATTTTTGTAGCACTTCTTAAGTGAGCAATTTTGAAGTTATCGAGCTTTTTATGGTAAGAGCTTGAACAGAATGGTTGTCTTATACCCTTAAGACAGCCTTAAAACAATGTTTTATGTTTTGAGCCCTTGGCTTGAGGTAACGCACAATAACTGTCTTATGTCTTAAGAGTACAAGTTCTGCTCAGGCCCCAAGATGTCTACTAGCTCACAAAGGCGAGATCGCCAATTGTCCAGCCAACTAAGGCGAGACGAGAAAGTCGAAATCGCGTAAGTCTCCTAGTGACATAAGTGACATGCTTGGAAGCTTCACGCGGTGCACTTTAGATAATACTAATGCCGGCAGTACTGTAACTTTCAAGTCTTGCAACTCGGAAAGTACTTAATGAAAAATAACTTAATTGTTTAGGAAAGTTCTCGAGATAAGCTATAAGAATATATAATGGAAAATAGGGGGTTCCATTTAAAAAATTTAAGATAATCTTCACGTTACCTTGCCAGCGCTATTCAAGGTCATACTGATATTGCTATGTAGTGCGTTACTTGAAGCTCTACAACTTTTGTCTAAAACATTTATTCATAAAAATTATATATTTCGAAATATTTCGGGATCCCGGTATTTTTTCCTCACCCTGTATATCTTGTTACGGAGGTAAATGGTAGATTCACACATACATATAGAAGACACAAATTCAAAATAAAGATTAGATATCTATTGTGTTGTAAATAAACACTGACAATTAAAAGTTAAATATGTATAACGCACACAAAAGTATAAATATGGTATAACAGTTAATAAGAAGCACATCAGCATTGCCGCGTAATATCACTTTTTAACTGATATATGTGTCTCATAATGTCATACATTGATATGTACTCAGCTTTAGCATGCGCTAGCATTTAGTAAAAGACTACGATCATACTTTCGTTATGTAAATATGACTAGCTTTTACGAATGCACATATATAAAAGTGAAATATAAAATAACTTCCATCCTACGTTCACAGTGTCACAACAAGATGTTATAAAAATAGAAATGCATACTTACAGATTTTTTTTCAGTCCAATGATCCACTGTATCGTTTTGTCTCTGAGTTTGCGCAAGAACCTGCTCGAAATGAGCGCATTCCTCGTGTCTCGTAATGCCGTTCTCGCGATATCGATAAAGCTCCGAGAGCCGTAAGCGCAATTCTCTCTCCCTCTCGAGATTTGTTAGGAACTGTTCGTGCTCTTGTGCTGTGTAAAACTGTGCGAATACACGCATTCTGTCCCTAAATTCTCTGTATTAAATAAACAAAATGCTTAATACGTTGAACGAGCAAAGGACATGAGATGCCCAAGTATTTCGAGAAACATTAATGTTTAAGAATCATACTTTTCTTCTTTCGTCCATTTTTTCTTCATTCCTTTGTCTTTCCTGGATGATGCGAAAAAAGCGGACACAAGCTGGTAATCTCTTACGACGCGTTTTCGTCTGGCTCGCTCTCTGAGATTACTGGTGTACATATCAACTTGTGCCAATTTAAGTGCAATATCAAGATCGTCATCTTCGGTAGGGTTCAGGAACAATGAAGAAACGAGAGACTCGGCCTCATGATTGTAATCCTGAAAAAAATGCAATTATTAAATTACACTTGTAAGAAAAATCAGGTGAGATGTTAGAGATGTTCGATTTTACTCTCTCAAAATCATCTCGTTGGGGCATGTAACCCAGTTGCGCGGCCTCTTCCGGGGTGATGTCCAATGGTGGTAATCTGGATGTGAGGTCAGGCGATAGAGGGCCATGATCGGACTTTGTTTGATCCGTAAGATTTGGTACGTAGCTATCCGTGGGTGGCCACGTGTGCTTTCCGATATTGCCATTGAGATACCTAGCGATATACTCCTCTTTCGCTTCTGCAATGATAAAATTCCGATGTAACGACAAGATGCCAGATGACTAGAACAATTGCCTGTCGAGCAAAAGATCCTGGATACCTATCTGGAAATGTTCGGAATTGTTCAATTATTTGTTAGATTTCTATTGTTTTCTAGGGGAAACTGAATAATTCCGAGCGAAATCCATTCCGAACATTTCCATGATAGGTATGCAAGTTCCATTCCCGGATCTGCCATTCCACACAAACGAGAAATTTAGTAGAAAGAAAGCATGTATTTAATCCAACGGCAATTGGAAATTGCGGTTCTACTTTAGAAAAATCAACTATAAATTTAGAACCGCAATTTCCAATTGCCGTATGATTCTCTAAGTTTCTCAAGGTGCTCAAAGAGCGTGCCAGACAAATTACCTTCTGACGTACGCGTCTCGATATGTTTACTGATGTCTTCCCAGTTTCCGAAGCCAAACTGTTCGATAGCGTCCAGAAGCCTCAGCTGTTCTTTGGCTGTCCAATTGCCACGGCCGTTGAATATGCTGATCGTACCAGAATCCTAAGTGGATTTGTGCACGAGTATATTAATACCAGCACTTTTGCAACGTGTAAGTTTCAAAATTGCCTTTGTTCGCATTCAGTACGTACCATAAATTGATAGGCATGATTATTTTTATGTTTACCAATTTCAGCACCGGCAGAAAAACACTGAAAGCAATTTACAAAGTTAACACACCTCCCAATTAATTAATAGGCATTGTCAATTAATATTTACACATATATCCAATTTTGTAAATATATTTGCCATATAAATCAATTTGAAACTTAAACGCCATTTAGGACCTGGCACAGGTGATGGCCATTAAATTACTAATAGCGAATTCGGTTGGTGCGCACCGAGTGCACACTAAGCCTTGTTTACAGTCAATTCTTACATTTGAAGATCATCTTAGATACATCTTGCAATATTTCTTATCCAGAAAAATGGTCTGTACCACGTTTACACTGATGACTTTTTGACTAAGTACTCTTTCAACGTGTGTTTAAGACAAAGTTAAATATAAGAACTGACTGTAAACAAGCCTTGGTGCGCACTAGTGCAAGCAACCGAATTCGTTATAAGTGAATCCATATATCGTCTTTTCCCACCCTGTACTGCGCGCCGTTACTTTCCGGACATGCAACACAGATTTCCCCTTGGTGGGATCATTATCGTCAGTGAATTCACGTGTTCTAAAAATCGCTCAACGATTTTTGTAATTTCAATAGGGAAAAGGGTAAATTAATAACGCTATGTAGAGCATTAAAATTAAATTAGAACAATGTACAAAAATTGTTCAGCGATTTTTAGAACACGTGAATTCACTGACGATAATGATCCCACTTCGGGGAAAACTGTGTTATATGTCCGGAAAGTAACGGCGCGCAGTACAGGGTGGGAGAAGACGGTATATGGATTCATTTGGTAATTTAATGGCCACCACCTATGCCAGGTCCTAAATGGCGTTTAAGTTTCAAATTGATTTATATCTGAAAAGGACCGAGTTAAAAATTAGTTGTTGTTTATATCTGTCATATATTAATGTCCTTTTAAATACCAAATCTATATATGCATCTTCCATTCATATACGTACAATTTACACGAAAACAGATTTAAATCACATAAATTTGCCATTTCTTGCGGAAAAAACTTTGATCCAGTTTACGCCGAGCATTTGATAGACGTACTAAGGATGCGTTCGAGTGCTCACTATCAGCGCTAAAGTAGCGCTACTTTAGCGCTGATAGCGAGCACTCGAACGCACCCTAAAGTCGTGCACGATATAAATGCACATGGATTACTTAAGTGCGCTTTGGTCTGGTACTCTTGTATCAAGTTGATACGCGTATCAAAAAATTCTAGCGCATTGTGAACGCTTGAGTCGCTTAGTTTGCATATTATTGTTAAATTCAGATTGGATACATCCAGTGGCACTACCGTTCGGTTTGCAGTAGAACTTTATCTGAAATTTTACTAAAAATTTAACCGGACCTGTGTTAAAATAAATCGGTATAAACAAGGACGTATCAAATGTTTCATCCGCACCAACTTGATGCGCGTACCAATTGATGTAACGGTGTAAACTAGGTCATTGAAAGTAAAATATAATTGTTAAAGCATCCGTTAAAATTGTAATATCCAAATTTCACAGCGTCACAATTTAAAATATCCGCCAATACGCCCACGTGCGTCGAGGTAATCTCAATTTCATTCATAGGTTCGCGAATAGAATAAAAGATGTTAAAAAGGGGGGAGGGGGATAGGGAGAGAAGTGGAGGGCGAAAAACGTGGAAATGTAAGGAACGGTCTTGCAAAGGGACCGGTTGAGACAACGCGAAAAGAGTGAGGTAAAAGGCGGACGGACGAGGAGAAAGGAAGAAAAACGGGAGGGAAAACTGGATCAGGGAGACGGAAAAGTCGAAGAAAGAAGGAGAAAAGGGAGGGAGGCGAGGCTGTCACGTGATACAAAATGGTCGTCCGAACGGTCAACCCACCTGCAAGCAAAGGTCGAATTCGGGGCAGTCGATGCATTTGACGCGTAGGCCCGCGATGTCCTCCTGGCAATAGGTGCAATTGTACTTGGCGTACAGATCTGAAATGCAAAGCACATAACAATGTAGGAGGACGGCGACACAACGGCGAGGGGGAGAGCGGGCGCAGAAGGGTCGCTCGACCCCGACACGGAATACGCACCCGCCATTATTGTCCCGCTGGATCCTTCCAGAGCAGATTCGGATGACGTCACCGCATACCATCGGGCCAGCGAGTTTCACGCTATCACGAGGTGTCGGGACGAGGTGTCGCCGCCGCGATCGTCATGCTTTCCGCCGGCGTACAAGTCCGCGCGAGAACGCCGCGAGATCGCGACGCGTTTTCGCTCCCCCTGCGAAGCTCTCCGTTCCCCGTTCCCCGTACAGGCGTGAGCGAGCCGCAAGAACGCCAACCGAAAAAAAGGGCAGGTAGGGTCGTGTTTACGACTGTTGCGTCGCGCGACGAGTACGCATGCGCCGGGCGTCACTCAGCTGCTCGCGCGCCACTACCCACGCCCAAGAAGAGACTCGAGACCGACGAGACCGCGGAAGACTCAACTCCAGTGGTGGGGGTAGGTCAAGTTCTAGCTTCGAGAAATGTGTGGCCAATCAACTTGCAGCTCTTCCGTAAGAGATGCAAGTTGATTGGCTACACATTTTTCAAAACTAGAACTTTGACACAGTTCTTGGATCGTGGACACGAGACTTTAAAGAGGCTAATATGGGCTCTGTGATTGGTTAAAAACACATTAAGAGTATATTTAAGATGATCTTAAATATAAGAATGAACTATGAATACCAGCCCTAGAGTCGGTATTCGTAGTCAGATCTTGTATTCGCGATTATTTGTCTACATTTGACCGGAAAATAACGTTTTTTTCAAATAATTTTAATTGCAATCATTTGTATTTCGTATGAAGATATTTGAAGTGCAATTGAAAGAGTTTGTGAGTCATTCGTTTATTTGTAATTAATTATTTTTTCTACTCCGTATTTAGCCGGAGGATAGACAATTAAATAAAGTTTTATTTTATGGAATCGTTTATATGTTATGTGGAGAGTTATAAAGTATCGTTGAAAAGGTTCGTGAGTGATTTAAATAATTTTATTTAAATATTTATTAACTCAATAGCCGAAATAAAAAGTGCTTTTTTTCTAAACTTTTGGTTTCTTAGCAACCGATAAAAAATGAAAAATAAGACTGTTAAAATTATTTATTTATTTTATTTGTCAATAAAGCATGATTTTGAACGGAGTTGCTGAGCGCAAAGTCAGGAAAATGTTCGTGGGGAATGTGCGTAAAGTAATATTCAGAAATCAATTATTCTTAATAGAGTATGTCACATTAAACATTATGATTAACTCCACGCACTCAGTACGAATCATTGCTGTACGAACGAATCGTGGATATATATTGGAAATCATTAAAAAGAAATCTTCAATGTTATAATAGTCGCAATTAAATTGTATTGTTGGATTAGTGCGAAAAATATATATATCGTGTGCCTATTAAATAAAATTGGAAGCGCAATTACGTAGTTTTGAAATAACTTTCATTAATTAAAATAAAGTAGTATACCTTTTCTACAATTCCAAAAAAAATCGAGTTTACGTAAAGCATAATTTGATTGATATAAAGAAGAATTAGCCCAAAGATAGCGGTGTCAATCTAATACATCGATAAAGGATATTGAATTTTGAGAAAACATTGAAAACTCAATTTAACTCATTTCAGATACAACGTGTGTACGCTGCTGCATTATTACGAAGATCGTTTTGTACAAACCAACCGCTTGCAGAGTGCAACAAAGCATTCGAGAAATTTAAATTAAAGCAAGCAAAGATGCAGGTATAACTTTATTCAAAGCGATCTTAAAAGCTTGACTTAAGAATTGCAAGCATCGTTTATTCCACTAGTGCGACGACGGGCTTCCAGTCTACTTAAAGGGTGGCTTGCGCGATAAAGTGCTGTTTAACGTGACGCTAGTTATGCTCTTGTTTAACACAATCCTATCAGTCTGCGCAATTAAGGAGCTCCTAAGAAGATCCTAATTTCATGCGTATCAAAGCTTAGAAGTTTCGGCATTTTATTTGGGATACCTTATGTGGGACTTGTGTAAACCAGAATATTAAACAACTTCACTTTATGTAAAACATCAATACATCTGGTATATTACGCACACATTCAAACATACACACGCGACTGCATGTGTCATGCTTACACATGTATATATATATATATTTAATACCGCTCCTATTAACTTTGGAAGAAATTTAATAAGGCACTCGATTACTCTGTAGATGTCCATATGGAAATTAATCTTCAGTCTGTTAAATTGTATGATGAATCCCGTGGAACGTAGACATTTACAATTTATTTTATTTAAAATTTGACGTTTGGTTTGCTACAAGCGTGATATCAAAATCGGGAATTGCTACATTTCTTCATACTAAAATGCAGACGTAAAAAGCAAAATAATAATACAACTTATATGTATATACAGGGTGTCATTGAATATTGGGGACTTTTTTGGTGTGCAGGTAGAGCGGACTAGACCGAGTCGAAAAGTCCTGTACCATTTTGCAATTTTCGCAATAGATAACAAGTAATTAATTATTCAAAATTGTCGTCCATGCTCTGTCGTCCTCGACCCATCCATCTGTCCGGATATCGCGCGTTTAAAAATCCACGTACTTGCCGGGAGAAATGCGCAGGAACCCCGTCACGCTCGAATTGGGAGGTGGGCCGGGCTAAAACGACAATTTTGAATAATTAATTACTAGTTATCTATTGCGAAAATTGCAAAATGGTACAGGACTTTTCGACTCGGTCTAGTCCGCTCTACCTGCACACCAAAAAAGTCCCCAATATTCAATGACACCCTGTATATACATATATGTTCATAATTATAATTTAAAACATAATAAAGAAAAATATAATTATAAATAAAGTCAAAATGACTATAAAATATATTCCTACTGTACATAGATTAATGTATTTTATATTGATTTGCGCTCCATAAAGATTCGATCATATTTCGTATGAATGTAGTATGAAAAATTGTAAAACATTTTTTCAAACTATTTTTGCACTATCGTCATTATCGCATGTAAGTTTAGGAAAGTTATTTTATGCTTTCCATACTGATGCATGAGCACATATTAAAAAATACAATATTTTTGAATATCACAGAAAAACGTATGTACAAATGTTACAATATTACACCATTGTTCCGTAACATTTAATGAAGTTACTCTCATGAAACATTAATTAAAAAAGTTTCATATAATTTATTTTCTACTTTTAGTATTTTTCTGTGAACTTTCTTTTCCATTGGTATTTATGTTATTTGAACTTACATTAGTCTCATCCGCGATCGATTTTCTTTGACTTTCTGATATATCATGCAAGTTGGATGTGTGTTCCTTTGGCGTAGCTTTTTTTCTTCGTTGTATTAAAGCCTTTAGAGCGTCACTGAATTGTAATAATGTTTCAGCGATTGGCCGTTTCATATAATTATTTGCGATTTCATCAAATTGATCGTCCTCCTCCAAAGTTAATTCATGCTTAATGTACTTGAATTGCTCTATTATTTCTTTAAGACTCTCTCTAGCATCTTTTACTATGAATTGATCATTACTTTCTGCAGAATAATCCATTTCCGTTATGCGCGAATCATTCTCAATACGATTTATATCGTTTGTTGATGCCATCGTATCAGTTTCATCGCGTATAAAATCTTTCTCAAATTCCTTAAACTGATTTATTATATTCCTTATGCTTTCTCTTACGTTTATAGAATTGGGTGTTTTGACGCTCTCTTCTTTATCCTTTTCTTGTGAAATTTCTGCCTCGGACAACTCTGCGTCAATTTTATCTTGCGACCTTACAATCTTTTTGGCATCTAGAATATCGTTTTCTTCTTCAGTTTCTTCTAGATTATTTGATTTTGTTACCTTGATTTTATCTTTCGATTGCGTAATTGGCTTCTGTTTACTAAATTCATCATCTTCGGGCTCTTCTTCCATTATTGCTGATTCATCTGTGATTGGTGGTTCTTTTAATTCCTGTTTCAATATTTCTACCTTTTTTAACATTTCCGCTGTAACTCCTTTCTTCTTCATCAGTTTTACCGGAAGTTCTGTATGTTTTCGTTCATCGTTGACTTCTCTTTTCTGTTTAACCTCTAGCATCTTTTCTTGAATCATTTCCTTAACAGTTCTCTTAACACCTTGAATCTCTTGATGTACATTTACACCATTTTTCAATTTTCCCTTAATATTTTCTTCTTCAATCTTTGCTCTTTTATCAAACTTTACGTCACTAATATCGGGAACATCTTTGAAGTTTTCTTGAGAATCAATATTCTCTTTCTTTTTATCTTTTGAATTTATAGATAATTTATTTATATTTTCAACTTCCCGTGTATTTTCCATAGATGTCGTATCATCTACTAAATCACTAAACATTTCTACCTTTTTCTCCATTGTATTATTGCTTTCTTTAGTCTCAAAACCAAAAACATCCGAGAAATCTTGTTCAACAATTTCTTTGGTCTTTTCAAGTTCTTCTATTGATTCCTCACGTTTGTCAACTACTTCGTCTTCAAATAATATGTTTAATTTTTTATTTTCTGCATCATCTACCTCACTTACAAAATTCATCTTTATAGAAGACCTTGATCTTGCTTTATTAGGGTCATATTTGATGTTTGATTTTCTTTTCATAATAAATATACTAGGCTTTGTTTTAATTTTAATAGGTGGTAACAGGTTGTGATTTAACGTTATATGTGAAAATCCGTCGATAGAATCAATAATATCATGAGTTTTTAGATAGGGCTTTATATTCGGGGAATATTTGCTTTTTGCTTCCATCAAGAGATGAGTAAATTGTAGCATTTCAGGATCATCAATAGCGAAGTTCTCTTCTTTTGAGTAACTGTAATATAACGAGTATTCTTCCTATTAAAAAGTACTATAATGCTGAATAGTGTTAGTGAGAAGATAGCATCATTACAAAATGACTTACATCCAAGAAACATTGGCCTGTGTAAATCTTGATACCCCAGTTTGTGCAGTCAATACGTCAATATGCACATGTACCGGCGCGATGGAGTCTCTCTCAAGCCTGTGTAATCTAGTAATTGCCAGACCTCCAGGATAATTAGTACCAGCCACGCAAAGTAAGAACATGGAGAACATAGCATTTAATATAAGATGACTGACGACAATTAACGCTAGAAAACCATTTAATGCCGTTTTTGCTCTGTTTTCCCATCTAATTTCCAACAATAATTTTTACATTATTACATTATATATTCGTATGTAGTTATAAAGATTCATAATCTGAAGCTTAATTTACCATCAGTGACTATAATTTAATCTCTATAACTGTAAATTCTAGAATTCTAGAATTTTATATCATTAAGAAACAAATATACATATATTTAGTTATATTGAAAGCAATCTCATACATTTCTCTTTATATTTCAAGAACAGGAAACTTGTTAATGCTAACGATCGTAATTTTTCGTGATACTCATAAATTAAAACATGTAAAAAATCGGTTTGATAAATTAGAATTACTGATAGAAAATTAATTAAAGCATAACTGAAATGAAACATATACTTACACTCTGTGGCAAGTAGCAGCTGCGCTAATATTCAACAGTGGGAATACGTATATTATAAATCTTAACTCTTTATGTGGTAAAAATGAAAATAATGCGACGAATATGATGGCTGGAACAGTAAGCAGACGGACTCTAGCATCCAAGAATATTCCAAAGGGAATTAGAAAGTACGAAAGTGCTAGTCCTCTTGGCAATGCTGAATAAAAGTACCATAAAAATGGTGATGTCTATTTGTACGTCAAGTTCATTTACATATTTATTTATATACTGAAAGATTATAAATATTTGTTCAAGAATCTCTAATATTTCAGACAATCAAAAGTATCTTTTTGAAAATTTAGCCGATAGTTTGGACCGAGGTTTGGACGTATTATACTCAGAGATTTGAATAACCACTGCTAACCAATTATATTTTATATGATAGATAAAAAGCATTTTTTCCGATGTTACAATTTATCATCCAAGATATTGAGAATCCTTAAACAGAATAGTTTGTTATATCTGAAAAGGATACACCCCATTCGCCGCTCTTGTTAAGAATAGTATTGAAATAAAATACTTCGCCTTCTGGCCACACTAAGCGTCTCCAGAATATTGAATCTGTAGCAATAGTAAGTGCTAAGAACAATACACCAGCTGGAACCGCAATTTTAAGTAGTCTAAAAATTATAAAACATTGTATAATAAGCAGAGCAGCTTGAGAAGAGCATTGTACAACAGCTTAGATATTTTTTAATTGTGTAAAACTGAAACCAGGCTTTTGTCTCGATGAAATTTGAAAATACTTTTATATTAACATATTTAACATAAAATACGGCAATGAAAGATTCGACCCAAACGCTTGCAAACATCTGTGTGGTTTTGCGGGAAACCCCTTGGTGAGTTGAATTAATTCTGTTTGTAATCTTACAGCTATGTTAGGAATCAATGGTTCATGACATAATGACATGTAAATACCTTTGTATAGAAAGTTTCTGCCTCGCTATATCGTATAAAAGGAATAGTCCCAAAAGTACAGCGAGCTCTGCTCTGAATATTATTATTGCTGCGGCCGACGACCAGATGAACAACGCGTGATATTGCCTCAGCCATCCAAATAAGGCCACTAATACTACAATATCGGACCCATTAATTAAACTAACGTGTGGGCGTGTGTGAAATTGCACGAGAAACATTTGAAAATAATAAGGAAACGTGAGCTCCTCAATTAACAGTTGCATACATACGCACAGAAAGTTTGATTCTATTACCTAAAGGCATAGCCATTATATTTGGCAGCGGACGACTAAGATAGTACATAAAATGATACTGCGACACAGTTATGGCCACAAACCACTTTGTAAACTGCGACCCAAAAATGCTTTGTAAAGCGCTCCTGTACAGCTTGAATGCAGTTATTACCAATAGTCCCAATGTCGCTCTTACTAAAAATGAAGAAACGGTGGTCAGCTTTTGATTTTACAAAGATATGTCGAGGTGTATTTAAAAATTATTGAACTTACCCGCATACTGAACAAAAAACTTATTGAGCTTCAGGTAATTGATACCTGCCGCTATTGGTGAGGCAAGACCAGACACAACAATAGGCCCCAGAAAAGAGCGCGGCACGACTCCAGGAAATTCATGATGGTCGTACTGTCAGCGAGAAAAATGACAAGATTATATATTAATTGAAAACACTTTTTCTTTTTGACGATTCCTTAAGCAGGAAAATATATATAGAGTGATTTGACTCGCGATAATATGAAATATATAATATGAATATGAAAGCAACTTGTGCTCACACTGGCTATCTGGGTATAAATATATTTATACCTGTTAGAAAATAGAAAACAATGTATGCTAACTCTTAGTTAACAGTATGTCCGTTCGACGTGTTCTCTCTTTAGCCGTGCACTCAATTACGACAATATGTTAACATTATAGCTAGCTGTACTTAAATCACTCAAACATTACATTCCTAGCGAAGAGCCTAGCATCAGTTGCTGCCATTCTATTTCCATACATTGCTCGAGTATACTGGCTGTCTGGGTGCGTCAACTGAACGTTCTTTCTTTGCAAATACAAGGCATTAACGATCTTCAACGCCTTCTCCTTCGAGTCGTGCGAATGCACATACGCAAACTCCGTATACAAATTGGGGTGTTTGCCAGAAGTGTTTATAGCGGAAAGAAATCGCAGCGATTCGAGTGAAATTTTGGAAATTAGAATCCGAAATGAATTAAGGGCGGCATCAGCTGATCGCGAGTTTATAAATACGCGTGTCTGATACTAAATATAATGCGGCACTTTTTGCGTGCTGGCTGCGACCCGATCGGTCAGCCGGGGACAACGTGCGGTTCGTCAAACAACTCGGGGTTGCCCGTCGGGCCGGGCGAGCGGACGGTCGTTTAACGTTTCAGTCATTACTTGCGTCAAATTGAGGCCGTGATAGAGGATGTCGTGCATCGCCTGCAGATTGAAGCTCTCCTCGACTTTCGTGAACGGACAGTACAGCAGGTGCAACACCGACACCAAGACAACCAGCTGATCCATGATCACCGTTGGCGGTTCACGCGGAGCGTATATTGCCAGTCGACCAACTCTCGGCTCTCGTCATGATAAATGCGACGTGTCGCCGCACAGGGGACTTTTTACTTTCGTTTTCTTCCCAAACACACGGCGTGCCAGCACGACGTTAGCGTACGGCGGCCGCTACGTATACTGTTACAAAACGGAGCAACTCGCGCATGCGTCTCCTCCCGCTCCAAAACTTGATTCATCTCCGGCAGAAGGTCCCCGGAATGCCCATTTTAATTGTATCTGCTCCTTCCTCCGGGAATCTCCCTCTCGTTGAGAATCCAATGTTGCGTAGCTGCGAGCGTCCTGTTTATTGCGGACTCTGAAACCATTATTTATAATGCAATAGAATCAATCGAGTGGAAAATAATGAATTAAGAAGAAGGAACTTTCGACGCAGTACCCGGCCGTTTAAATATTAGGTAGAATATCATCAGATTACATTAGATAGACAGCCATTTCGATGTAAATAAATAAGTCTTATTAATTTACATTAAAATCGCATGTAATCTAATGTAATCCAATTGCATTCTATCTATTGTTTTAAACAGGGCAGCGACAAAATTATCTTTTTTTTATCTTATCACAGAAATAGGAAGCTCGTGATTTGAAATTTTGCTGAAATGTATGTGAAAATCGATAGTTTAACCTTCTTTTTTTCAAAAAGTAACATTTTTTTCAGTTAAATGCAGTGAAAATTTCATGTCTAGTTCTTAAATATTATAACTGATATTTCACACACAGTATTGCATATTAAATTTCATAAGAAAAATTACAATTAGTTTTCAGACGCATTGAACAATTTTTCCAAGAACTTTCCTCTCACTTTTCCCGCCAAAAAAATTCATCCCGCGCAAAATGTTGCTTGCATTCAGTCCAAGATCACGACAGTTCCGGTGACGCTTTTATGCGCGACGTGCGAGAAATCCTGTTACGCAGATTCGCCAACGAAGCAGCAGTGTTGACAACGTACGCGGTGCGTTGATAACGTGCGCTTTTAGCGGCAAAAGCAGCCGGTGCGATTCGGGACTCGCGACAACGTACCGCACGTCGAGTCGCGAATTCAGGTACAACCAGATAGAAAGCTCCTTCCTCTCAGATATTGCCGGGATAATCCGATCGTCTCGTTTGCAATTCCGTTTAATCGCAAGATTTCTCTCCCCCACGATCTCCTGTAAAGGTTACCGGCAAACGGATCGACCGATTATGCTCCTTATTTATGCGCTCTCAAAAGTAGGTTATAAAGAATTGCAGTACGGAGCGCAGTATTGCAAGTGCAACAGAATTCGAGTGTGTAACCACCCGCGTGAAGTTTGCGTCGAGACGTTTCGCCACCCCCTCTCCCTTCAGTCCCTTCCTCCTCTCGCCGCTATAGTCGATACATCCGTAGAGCGGGAACCTTAAAAAATATACAGGGTGTCTGACACAGGAGTACCCCTGCGAAAAATGGTGGTGGTTTCGGTCAGACCGAGAAGGAAAATCGTGTACCATTTTTTACACAATTCGCAATGGTTATCGAATAATTTATTGAGATGGCTGAGCGAATGAGCTACCGCCATTTTTCGTAGGGGTGCTCTTGCGTCGGACACCCTGTTACATACAGGGTGTTCGGAAATTCAAGTCGGAGGCAACAATAAGAATCGCTTTTTGTAAATGAACCTGGGCTCGGAAACGCGTCATCACATTGCTACGGCGTACAGATAGCGCATTGTAGATTAGACTTGAATGTTTTACAATGTTTGTCCTTTCTATACAATTGTAACGTGACAATTGCCTTCGACAAATATTTTCTCCATTTTGACTTGGACATTTAAATATTTCTTACTTATGACAGATTGCATAAGTATTTATATATTTTTTTTTATATGTAGTACTTTTTTTTAAGTATTGCTCATCTGCGCTTTAGAATGAGAAATGCTATGCTGATATACTGCTTTTATTTATCAAAAAATTAAATAAATGTCTACAAGATCAAGAATAGCCTTTCTTTACAATGTTACAAACAAAGCACTTATTTTACTTTTGAATACATCTCTTGCAACACTTGATTAAGAAAGAAATCATTCTCGAAGCAATTTTATTCACACAAACAATAAACTTTGCTTTTGTTTCCCTCATCTTAAAACTGGTCATAAAAGAAATTAAACGTTTGTCTTATTATATAAAATACCAATTTCGGGAGTCTAGGATCGGTATGCATAGTCAAATTTTATATTCAAGACTGTCTTAAGATTATCTTTAGATACTCCATAGACAATGAAATTCTATACAATATCTTTAAATAAACTCAAGACGATCTTGAACATAAGATCCGACTATGAATATTGCCCTAGACGTTAACATGACAAAAATGCATTAATATACAAATAACAGATAGTAAATGAACGATAGTAGAGGAAGGCAGTTAACGTAATAACATGGTTTGCAGCGTTGTCTTCTTTAGGTGCGTTCTGTCACACGATGTGCGTAATGCATCATTTATCCTTGTAATTCACCAGATATTAAGTAAGGAACGCACCCTTTATCGTCGCAGTTGTTGCGCTCAAGACATTAGATTTTTAAGTTTCAACTGAGGATTTAAATTTACAAGATGTCCGTCGACACGTGTAACAAAGTCACGCACTGTATCTTCGATATGGACGGCTTGTTGCTTGGTAAGATATCGAGACCGAACAGATACCTTTCAGATCATTCGATTCGTAATTAGTCCTTATTGTGCTTCACCTCAGATACAGAACATCTGTATACGAAGGCCTTCAACCGTATCACCAATCGTTACGGCAAGGAGTACACGTGGGAGCACAAGGTGCATCTGATGGGTCTCAAGCCCAAGGATGCTATCGAGTGTGTAATTAAAATGTTGGAATTGCCGTTGACAGTGGACGAATTCAAGCAGGAGATTATTGGGATCTACCAGGAGTTGTTTCCACAGACCAATCCCATGCCAGGTAAACGCTCTTACGTCATAACGCATCCTCGAGATCAGATTAAGTTATTTCGTAATTTAGTTCTGATTGAGCTACATGTACAACCCGTTGTGTAACAGGCGCCGTTCGGTTACTTAAGCACCTGAAAGAGAACAACGTTCCGATTGCGTTAGCCACGAGTTCGGACCAAGAAAACTACGAGTTGAAAACCAGACGCTGGCACGATCTCTTCGAGCTCTTCCATCACAAAGTGCTCGCCGGCTCGGATCCCGAGGTCGCACATGGAAAACCAGAACCCGACATATTTCTCACAGCTGCCAAGCGGTTCCTCGACAATCCGGATCCTTCGAAGGTAACACGACTTTCACGGACGGTCAAGTGTAGCTTACAAGATGTCACTTAAATTGAGCATCAGACTCTAATTTCGAGGACCAAGACTAATTGAAATCTAAGAGTCAGTGATCTACAAATTCCCTTTTAGTGTCTGGTCTTCGAAGATGCGCCGAATGGCGTAAAAGCGGCACTTAACGCTGGCATGCAAGTTGTTATGGTGCCGGATCCGATGCTTCCCAAACATTATACGAGTGAGGCAACTTTGGTCTTGGACAGCCTCGAAAAGTTTCAACCGGAGAAGTTCGGATTGCCGCCGTATACGACGTAGCGTGTCCTTCTCTTGGTTTATCGCATGATACAGATTCGTGAACGAGACACACATGCACGAAATCATTTCGTATAAGAATAATTTGTAAGATTTCTTTAATCGCGGTCTTTTCGATTTGTATCTTATTCCTTGGCTGCTTCTTCTTTAAACTTCTTTATCCGTGTCATCGGACAGATCTCCCAGTTCGTCGAAATCCTCCCGCGAACCAGCACTGACAAACATTCCCGCGGAATTGATACTGGCACTGCTGAATATTCCTGTGAGATTTACACATGAAAACTTGTTACGCTTTAATTGTCGGTCAACCGCCTCTTTCAATGTGTTGTACGCGGCAATCATATCCCGTGGGCACTGAGACAACAGATCTGAAAATTAAAAAGTTCATTCCCATGTTCCTTCAAACATTGTAATGTAACATGCGGCAAAGGATAACAGTTTGTTACGTTTGTAAGCTGGTTGAGTAATGTCCAACATTTTATGATAATAATACAACTGATTGTACAGATCTGTCCCAGAATACTGAAAACGTATAAACGTGTACATTAATATTGTACCATTTGAGAGTAAAAAATATATAAAATTGATTCAATCAACTTACAACTCGACTCATGGAAATGTCCTTACACACTGGACAATCTGGGAACTTTTTCGCAAAATCTAATGGCAATTGCCGCGTTCTGTAGGAGCAAAGTGGATTTTCACATTCCAACCAGCCACTATAGTACTTGCTAATTACTTTTCTCATGGCAAGTTGAACTACATTTTGTATCACTTTTGCATACTTCCAAGGTGGTAATTTACAGTCCTGATTGGGACACATGCTAAGTGATAATTGTCGACCAGAATGCTACAAAGAATAAGAATATTTATAAATATTCGACAATAATTATATAAATATCGCAAGAATACGTCAATACGTTAATTGAGAAGATATGATACTTGCAATATAATCTTGAAATTATAAAAACAAAAGGAATTATACATAAAAGGAAGGGAAAAATAGATACTTACAAATTCTGTAACGGTATCCTTAATTACTATTTCCGTATTACAGCGCTCACTTTTACACTTAAATGTCAAAGGAAGACAATTGTTGAACCTGTCGTCATTGATAGCCAGCGGTAAGTTGAGGCTTGCCTCGCAAGCAATCGCCTTAGGCTTGTAAACGAATTGTAAACCTAGCGAACGAAATGACCGCGTAAAGTATTATACATTATTCCATTTCTAGAGCCTACAATAACTCTGAAGTACCTAAATTGTTGGCTAAGAAGACGTCATCGATACCCTCGATTGGGTCGCAAATTCGCAACACCACAGGAAATATTTGACTCAACAGATAGTAATTAACGTCCACTTTTAATCTCTCATTATTCTTCACTTCGTCGATGTGATACGCTCGTTCTGTCGCGCTCGCATCGGTTCCATCCTGTTGATGTTAAAATAATCTTCATCCCGGTCTTTTCGTAGATATTTTTGTTTCTACAATTCACTCGGAAAATTCGCAAGATTGTAAAATGAAAAGAAACCTCGCATATAACATATGGCAGCGTGTCACCGGCTTTCCACATCCGACCACCAGCTTTGTTGAGTCTGAGTGCCACCATAACGTGAGACAATTGCTTTTTATCTGGATACGCATCTGGATTTTTCGACAATTGTTTAGTGATAACGAATGATGACAGCGGCGCTGTTCCCTCCTTTACACTTGTCGCGATGTTTTGCAGAATTTGCACGACTTGTTCCAAACGCGTTTCGCCCGACTGATCGCAGAGAAGTACGTCCAAAATTTTTCTAAAAGGATGAGCAAGATAATTCAAATTCAGATTTGAGTAAAAGTAATCTCTAGAAATATATTATCACGCGTATCTGCTAACTTTCCAGTGTCGCAGGCCAACGGACACCAATCTCTTCTCACAATATCCAGACCCTTGTGCTCCTGAGCCATTTGTATTTGGCCATTTGATAATTTCGACATCGTAACGGCAGCGTATTTCTTCTTCTGCAAAAGTAATAGATATCGGAATACTCCATCGATATCCAATTCAACTTTCTTGTATCGGTTGTTAACTTCGCGCATAATCTAGAAAATATTTAAGGTGGTAATGTTAATGAACATCTCTGCAACAACATAAATCGTAGAATGACATGAATTACAGTGCAATATTATACGATGGAATATCCCTCTCACCTTTCTGCCGATCAAGAAAACGTCATCGTATTCCAAAATGTTGGTATTTATCATCAGAGAATCGGTGTCGCCATAAATTACTTCATATTGCAGTTTCTCGACCAAGCGCTTCGTATCCTCCAAAATCTCTCTACCCTTGGCTGAAAAACAGCAAATGCTTCACGCCATTAATACGCACCTTAAATATTTATTTCGCGTCTTACCTGTTATCAGAGCCGCGAGACCTTTGGCGTAAAATCGACAATGCGTTGCCCCCAAACACCCGTACATAGAATTAGCTGTGAGTTTCAACGCCATTTGCCTGATATGGTAATCCATTTTCTGCTCCGGCGATAAATTCGGCGTTTTCATGAGCTGCTTGATCTGCTGTCTGCTTTTAACTAACTTGTAAATCTCCGTTGGGATCACGCCTGGCTCCAGATTTGACTCGGGAATATTTAATTGCTGCACCGTGCGAATTACGTATTGGTCAAGATATTTGCTTTCCGATATTGTTCTGCATGTGAGAAAATTACCTCGACGTCTGCGTACGCCGCACCAGGCACGGTGGTGAAACACAAATTGTATTCTTGTATAATGCTCGGATACAGGGAATTAAAGTCCATCAGCAGCACCAATTTATCGTAGAAACCTTTCTTCGGATCAAGTACGAGGCCTCCCGTGTACGCTGCAGCTTTCCTACGCGGGCCGTCTAACGTATATCTAGTATTAGTACACCTAGCATACATAATAATTTCGTAATAACGATATATAAAAATATATCAAGATCTCACCATCGTCTCGCCCCTTCTTGTCAATTCTTTTATCCGGCATTATGTAATCTTTCAAATTAAAAGCATGCAGCAATAGATACTCGTTCCTTTCCGCTCTTCCGCCTAGCAACGTCCTTGATAAAACATTACCTATATTCAATTCGCAGCAATTAATTATAAATGCGCATTGTTATGTTTTATTAGAAAGTGACAAAAGATATAAAACCTTACCTGCTAAACAAGTAATTTGAAGTGCGAGCGGTATAACGTTGAGGTCCATCACTATAGCTATAATGTTTTTTGCTTCTTTCAACGTTACGTGCATTAGATTTATTAGTTTGTCCGCTGTATTGAAAAATGATGGAGTTTCCACTGGCGTGACCTCTTTACATTCGTGTTCCTTTGTCCTTAATACCTGAATATTTATCAAAATGAAACTTGGTCTGGACTGACAATAAAAATGTCACGAGTACTGTATTACTTACTGCACTGCAAAGTGATTGCAGATCATAACTTCTGACTTTTAAGTTCAATTCCTTCGCCGAAATTTGTATATCACAAATCGGACGACCGACGAATGCTTGATTAAGGATTATTTTCCCCTGTGTAAATATTACATGTATTCTTACGTTAAAAAACATTATCTTATTTATACGCTAGTTATATAAATATAATTTTATAACTTTATATTGAAACATGTCGATATGCTGTATTACTACTGCAGCTTTAATTTATTTAAAGAGGGCAAGATGTATGTGTTTTACCCGAAATAAGGGAGGAGTAGTTGATTTTAATCTTCCCATTCTGTTCCAATTGGGTACTTTCAATGTAAACATTCTCTGCATCAAAACGTCAAATTGAAATGCACAGTCGTAGCCTATTATTAAATCGGGATCCGCTTTCTGCATAAAAGTTAACAGCTCTTCGAGTAACTCGCTTTCAGTTTCGTATTTTAATACTTCGGTAGCTGGGATTTTCAGGGAAGTATCGCGAAATTGTCGCGGCCACGGGGTATCTCGCGGACGTGTGACAACTGTAAAGAATTGTAAATTAATTGCACAGCCTTCATTGTCAATATCTTGGTAGACGAATGGAGAACTATATCTGCGATAAAACATTGATGGAGAGATGACCCGAGCTAAATAAAATGTTTTCTGTTTTTAAATCACAGAATATTGCCATTCTAAAATGTTGATTCAATGATTAAAGAAACTTTAAAAAAACGATTGACAAAAATGAAAATGTAAACTTACAACAAATTTGACGCTCATAAGGCGGTTTTGGTGGTTCTTTATCAACATTGTACTTATGATGAATTAGCACAACAACCATCACTACTTCGTTCTGCAACTTTGCGTTCAAAGACATTCTCACATTCAGCGTCGCTATCACCATTGGAGGCTTAGCCTTCTCTTCGGAACACAGGGATATATTGCTCATGTCCGAAGTAACCACCTGTTGCATTGTAGTATAAAATAAATATCAAATTCTTTTTTCAGAAAAGCCACATTCGATGTAGTAATAATTAAAATGTACCAGCATATTGAGACATCGCGAATAGATTTTTATTGCTATAATAATATAGAGAAAAAGTCCTCTATTATGAGACAGGATTCTAATACGAGATAGCGGGTGTTTAACGTCCAATCACAAACCTTTTTTCGCAACGATTACACGATCTAACAATCAATTTTCCACTAAACAGATTACACTCCAAGGGCAATAAACTCATGGTGGAATCAACAGATGATCTTAATTTAGCAGAAACTCCGCTCACATTTTAGGAGCCTATCTCATAATAGAAGGCTTTCTTCTAATAAAAACGTTTACATACTATCTGCGGACACCACGCAAATCGTCCTGCAGTGGGCGATACATTCTTAACGTCTAACCAGCAAGGTCCTTTAATCTTTCGTTCTATCAGTAATAACTCCAACGCATTCACGGTTGTACCAAAAACGCGTTCTATTGCCGGACCGGAGTAATCAGGATCTATTGCTGGATAGCTTGCATTGTATGTGACTTCCAAGTAGTCGCAAGTTTTCGGCGTGCCCTTCTTTTCAAAGGAATAATGCTTCCTCACCTCTTTAGACTTGTACCCCATTATACCCATTTTATCGGTATATTTATGAAACTCGTTAAGGACGTCCAACATAGTCGTCAACTGCGAGTCCGTGTTTTTTATCTGCAATTCACGACCATGAAGAGAAGCCGCATTCAACGTAGCAATAATCGAAAAGTACCTATTGACGTCAAACAAATGGGGAAAAAAGTACAGTAAAAGAATATACGTACATATTTTCTCGGTAAGAGATAGACTCGTCTTGGTATTGAACGAACCATAACGCAACACGAGCAGAACGTATCGTGACTTGCCACATAGGTCTTGCCGAAAAGATACACAGTCCCAGGATTCTTGTAAGGGTTTTCGTAAGCGTCCAGATAGTAGAACTTAAATACCTCCTCCCCATCTTTCGTTTTGATTAATTGCGGCGCTACCTCCATCAAGTCAACGGCATTACCAACATTCATACTTTTGACGGAAGCTTTACATGCAGCATTCTGTACATCTATCCCGTTCTTTTGAGATTTAACGTTCTTCGTCGACGATGAAAAGTCCATGTCCATGCTCCCATCGTCAAAATCTATTGTGGATAGCTGCAATGTATTTTATATATCGATTGATCTCTTTCGCAAGGTCGTATCTCTATTTTACGCAACTTGTGGTTTTTGTGCCTGAATACTCATTCTGGGCCAGAATAAGCGCTTCAGCACAAAAACCGAAAATTGCGCAAAATCGAGATACGCACATGCGGAAGAGATCAGACGATATAGCTTCGTTTTGATAGAAATAATAAAATAGGATAATAGAAAAAGATGTTACATCTCCAACACATTCGCTAAGATCCATCGTAGGACTATTATCATCCTCAATAATCTGACTCGCACTCTGCTCGACATTATTGGACTCCAATGCTTTTCTCATATTTCGATCTTCTGGCTTCGACTCGTTTTCGACCTTTGAACAGTTACTCGATTCCGCTGGCTTACTAATCCTCTTCTGCGGTGCATCAAACATTGCGGTATCGTCATCCTCAATTCTCTGGCTGTCACTTGGCACAGTACTAGCGGATTCTAATACAATTTTCTCCCCTGGCTTTTCAGATATTACTTTATCAGCTGCTGTTTGAGTTGTAGACAAAGACTGGCACGTTTGCCTATGATAAAAGTGTACACATGTCTATAGTTAAGTCTCAGTATAAAATAGCACACAGTAGTATAAACAGAATTCAATGACTCACGCAGCGTTAGAGTGAACTGTATGGCAAAATTTGTTCCTGTTGCCTCCTGGCTTAGGACTATTGGCTGTCTTTTTATTCACAGAAATCTCGTTGAGCAATTCTCCCAAAATATCATCGTCTTTGGTCTGAACGACTTTAGCGTCCTTCTTGGAAGGCATATTCCTAATCATACTTTGAATATCCCCTTTCTTCTTGTCCTCTTCCTTCCTTCTCTTTCTGGGGCCAGCCATGTTATGCCTCTGTTTTCTGGCTTCCTGAATGCTCTCTTCATCCATATCATCGTCAAAAATTTCCCTTCCGTCTTCGACATAACCACTTTCTCCTTCAATGTTTTAATTCAAATTTAGTATACATGGACTTTTTATCTCCGAGCTTATTCTTATGCGATATATCTTTCCATGTAATCTGCTTTAATGATAAAGTAGTTCTTAGCAATAAAAAGAAAAGCACGAGAACTTTTATACCATCGTCGACTATCCAATCGTCCCGTTGGCGTTTTAAAACTTCATTACTGTATTCCTTTTCGTCTACCTCGTCGTAAACATTGTTTATCTCTTCAACCTCATACTTGCGTTTGCCACTTCGAGCTTCCTTCAGTCTTTCCAAGGCAGAAAACCTTCCGGTCCTATCGGTCTTCTGACGTCTGGACCTGCCAGAAGTAGATGCTGAAACATTGTTCAACAAAGTAGTGAATTATTGTACGCACCAAAACAGCAGTGTGACGCAATGCATTCCGCTGTATGATAAATCATTTGTGGAAGAAATCTTTCGACAATTATACTTAATTATGCTACTGGATTGTCAGTTGTAGAAATACAAAAGAAAGTGAAAATAAGATTTGGCAAGGATCCAGGTTGAAGACTCGCGGAGGCTCACAAATGTTTAATGTATTAACTTATTAAACACATTATGGTGCGACACTCGGCTGAAATTGTACCGTTATCTCGTTCGGCACGATCTACCTACCCTGCGAATCGTCCATTATCCTTCCTGTAAATTACGTTTGTCAACACGAGGACGCACGCAACATTACATTTTGTACAATCTCGTGACAGTCCTGCAAGTTCTGGCGGGAGATGATTCTCGCGACAGTGAACGTCTCGGGATCGATATCTCGCAATTCGAAAGTTCGATTCGATTTGAGATATAAAGCTATGGCTGGTATTCATGAACGATTCCTAAAGCCAACGACGCGTTGAATTGGTTGGAAGAAAATTTTCAACGAATCCAACGCGTCAAAAATTCTATTCCCTGTTCCTATTGCCTGTTGCCTGGCATTGTGTGATAGGCTTTAGCGCTTGCTAAGCGCTTTGCGTTCATTGGATTATACTTTCAGATCTGTGCTGAAATAGAGAGCTATTCTTCTAGATCATGAAGAATAGAGATAAGGAGGGTCAACTTAAGCCCGCTGCAGACGATGCTATTTTTCCTGCTGGATTGCTTGCAATTTAGTAAATTACTAGGAATCCTGAATGCTGAGTGGTGCAATGATAGTAATTTACTAAATCGCAAGCAATCCAGCAGGAAAAATAGCATCGTCTGCAGCGGGCTTTATATGGGCGGATGCGTCAGATTCTGAGCCCAAAAATTGTCATCGCTGCTAGTACTAAATCCTAATCGAGATGTCGCTTCCGTTCCACGACAGCGTTCTCACGTACACAGTATGAGCACAGTATAACCAGTATGCCCACTCTCTGTCGGCACCTTTGATCTGAGCGTTCTCA